AACTTGGTGAGGTGTAGGCAAACGACTCCCATTGCCATCCCCCACAGAGATGAGCCCTTCATCCAGCAGTGGTTTCTTAAAAGAAACCAGCAGTCGTTTCTTAAAGAGCTATTATAATATTCGGAATGATTATTTCAGGACCGCAAGCAAAGATCCAGTGGCAGTTTTATAAGAATTGTGGGTCGTTGTATGCCCATTCGGCACCCAAATTGAAATATTTACCCGTAATTACTGTGCTCCATTTCCATATATTCCAGTGTGGAGCTTGGTGGGATCCTTTTGTCTCGAATCCCAAGGTGCCATGTGTGAAGTGACTGCCCTTCCGCTATGTTTACTTTGACCTTCAGTTCATTAACCCCAGGTGAAAAGTCTTGCGAAGAATTAAACACCGCTGAAAATGTCATCGCCGGCAGAGATTCATGTTGTCCCTTCGCTTGATCACCGAGCCTCCTCTGCATCTGTGCGTCTCCTGTGTTCTCACTTATCATCTCTCGCTCCATTTCATAGCGAGGAGGGCGCATGAGAAATACTCGTACTTTGGTGCGGCGTTCACAAACCGTGTCTGTGCACAGCGAGAAAGGGAGCACAGTTTTAGAAAAATTGGCGCTTTTAACACAAAGGCGTTTTAAGCCAACGCAGAGAAAGAAACACACAACGGGAGATGCACAAAGTGGGGCTCTGCTGCTATGAAAATAAACGGTCGCATTAGCAAAGCAAATAGGACGAGTAAGTAAACATGCAATTAAATTACATGAATGGCTTTTTATTTTTTCTGAGCCGGAGATGGTTGGATTGCGTCGGCGTGTTGCCGTGGCTACGGACGTGCATCGGTGCTGTTTTTGCCGTCCGTCTTGACTGTTCTACGGCTGAATGCGTCGTTGCCTGATGCATTTAAATTCTCGGGTGTTCAAAATAATTAGCTGGCCGTGAATGACGGCTAAATGAATGAGACACAAGCACACGGTTGTGGCTTTGTCTCCAGGGAAACGGCACTCCCAAAAAATCCCCTTCCCATTACAAAAAATAATTGTAACCTTTAAAGAGAAATATATTGAATAGTGGCCATCGCTAATGCATTTTGGCTTGGCGCATTTTGCCTGCTTTTGCGCAACTGTGTTCTGAGTGGACGTGCATCAGTAAACACGTGTTTGCGTGGGTGCACGTGTGCGTTCTGTATCCGTCTGTCAATCTCAACAGTGTGCCGGGAACCCCCTTACAAGGTGGAAGAATCGGGCTACGCTGGCTTCATACTTCCCATCGAAGTCTACTTCAAGAACAGGTGACACACGATGGAAATACTAAAATAACTTCCAACGAGCAACCACGTCTCCGATCGTATTCCAAGTGAAATCGGCACACGTTTTTCACCGCGTGGGATGGTTACCTCCCAGCAAGCGAACCAGGGAAGTTATGCCAGTTGTCGTGAATCTGGACAAACGTACGCCTTCTGTGATCAGAAAAAGCGCTTCTGCACCCGCTGATCGACGAGAGTGCTTCTTGCTTTCACCTCAGAAGCGCTTCCCGGTGAACCAGGGCTGCGGCTCCAAGTGTTCGTGAAGCAAGGAACGCCACTGTGTGGATAAGCGACTGCAGCACTGTCTGCGTTCAGCTCACGTTCTTGTGTAATTTGCACTCGCCGGGTAATTGCTGGTTTTGCCTTGCGGAATGCATGCGTGGTTTAGCCACGGTCTTATGCAGCCTCGTTGCGGTGTGTGAGCCCTAGTGCATCGTGATTTCAAATTAACAGCCGCAACGTCTTGAGGGTTGTGTTTGCGATCGTGCCTTAGATCTGTCGCTCAAGCCCCAGGTATTTTCTCGCGTGCTTCGGCCAATAATTGGCCCATTCATTAATCCCCTTGAATCAATCCACAGCCTGGTCGTTGATCAAACCCTCATCCGTAGCGGTCCATCCATCAAGCTCGGGCAGCCCGTTCTTTCATCACTCACATCCATCCGTGTGCAATCATCCGTCCGTCGCGTGTACGGCAAATTCCTCCTTTAATTAATCTATCAGGCGTCCATCTGTGTGACAATGCTTCCACCCTAGGTGCATCCATCTTCTGGCTCCAGTCGTCCATAGCGCATCATTTGGCTGCCCTTATAAATCAGCCCTTGAACGTGTCACGTATTTCCCTGTCCTCTGTCTGTATGTCTCTTGGTGTCATCGACCGCCAGTTAGAAGTGCCATTCATTCATTATTTTATATCAGTCAGGTGAGAGAGCCCATTGAAAATAATCCTCTCTTTCAGTGGAGTCCTATGTATGGGCAATACAAAGGTATACCCTTTGCTTAAATACACTCAAATATTGTAAGCAGGAATAACAAATAAAAAGGAACAGAAGTCAATATTTCAGTAAAATATATTTTGTACATGAGGTGTAGGACATTATTCAAAGCACTGAAATTCATATTGATCAAGCAACAAGTACATTGCCCATTAAAGTCTGTCGACCAAAGGAGAGTTTTTAATCATAGAAGGGATGCAATATTCCATTTACAAAAAACATTTTGGTAGAAATAACTTTTGACGTAGAACATAGCACCCTGATGGAGGCATGTGTTACACATAAATGGTTTAAATGTGTAAGTGATAAACTCGATAAAACAATAATTTACAGCCTGTTGTGAATCCACTGCTGGATGAGGGTCTCCCCACACTGTCAGTCATGGAGCTTGTCTAACCATACTTCACCACGCTGATCAATTCAAGTTAGTGAAGCCATAGCCCGGCATCAAGCTCGGGTCACTAGGTTTATATCGCATAGCACTATCCACTGCGCCACCACCCAAAATTTGACAAACTCTGCTGTGATGTCTAAGACAAACTTAGGCTTGTGCATTCGAAACTACGAAAGAATATCCTTAGGCCTGTGCATATGTTCATCGGTCCGTCACTTCATTCGTCCGTTGTCCATCCGTCCTGACCCTTGCGCGAGAATGCGTCGGTGTTGAGCGCACCCTGACCCTTGACCGCATGATTTACCAACAGGAGGAACCGCGAAAGGTCAAGTTTGACTATGACCTCTTCCTACACCTGGAGGGGCAGCCACCCGTGAATCACCTGCGCTGCGAGAAGCTCACGTTCAGCAACCCGCCCAGTGACTTCCGCAGGCGACTGCTCAAGGCTGGCGGGGTGAGTGAGCGGAGCGGCTGGTCGTCTCTGACCAGTGTTGATTTAATCAGCTGTGTGTTAATTCCAGAATCAAATTTTTTTTTTTTATCCTGGAGAAAGCCGACGAGCTAAGAAGCTCTGTTTTTTACAGATGTCCAGTCGAATTGAGTCACAGGCTTCGTCTGGTTGTTGACACCCTGTGGAGTATAAGTCATGTGTGTATGCACGTATGTTGAACTTCTTTCGCACCCTACGTAGCCAACCGTGCTAATCGGAGGTGTCGGGTATGGACAACAAACTAAACTCTTAGGTGTTTTCGGTAAAGTCACGTAGGTAAAAATAATGATAATAGAAATAAAATAATAAATCACGACGTTTCGGAGGCAACACAAGTCTCCGTCATCAGGTGGGACTGTCACGAGTATGATTCCTTGCAGTCACGAAAGCTTCAAATCTAGAAACAAACTAAACACAAAAAGCAGTTTTTAGTCCGTGGATTTAATTGAATCAATCAATCAAGGCAGTCGATCATTTGTCCACTCTTGGCATGAGGGCACTCCAATATCAGGTCAGCCAACCAATCGGCTCTTTTAAAATCTGTATATATACAATAAATGACCAAATTTAGGTATTCCTCAATGCACCTCTGATTCGCACGTTTGGCTACGTACGGTGCGATAGAAGTTAAGCATACGTACAAATATAATACTACTAAACTATCTCCGTCTTTGTCTTCAATCAAACCCATTAATTTCGTCTCATCACAGCAGTCGTAGCCATCGTCATTCGTGACGATTTTCGTCCGCTCCTCTTCGCATCACTTTGGTGACGAATATTTTCAAAACTAATTTCGCCCACAAAATTAACACTGCCTACGGGGGGGTGCGGGGGGGGTGTGTACCCCCTTGCATGCCGACGACCAATGATGGGTGTTTCAGCTCGTTTTGGGAGGCAAATGTGGCCTAAGGAAATCTCACAGCCACCGCAGTTGATCAATATCTTCTGCTTACAGTATTATTATTATTATTGGGTGATCTAAATTTAGAAGTAATCAAATAATCACGTTAATTTTCAGTGCTGTAATGAATTATTGGACCGCTCGTGCATTCATCATTGCCCTGCCATTACTAAATCACTCCGTTGAATCTGTGTTCTAAGAAATTTAAATTGTGCACACGAACGCACGCTGTGTACACACACAACAACAAAAAATATTTACCCATCCGACCTCGTTAGAGACTAGTGGGACAAGTGCTGTTTGTAAGAACCTTCTAAAGCCCTGCCACCTTTGTGTCCCCATTGGTCATGTTTATACACTGCTTTAGGTTTCTGATTTACGACAGAAATTTACCCAGGGGGAGATTCAGAAAGACACCATGTGCCACGGATTTTTGCCATGGCCAGCAATCCAACTCGGTGTTCTGCATTTGTAGCCACCACTTCCAATAAAAAAACACACACACGCACATATGTAGTAGGTTCAATTTAGACGCACACTCAACTTGGAGGCAACACTATATATTAACGCATAACAACCAACGTGAACACTATATACAGGGTGGAGACCACCGTTCCTAATATCACTAACACTCGGGGAGTACTACACAGCGTGGCCAGGGCAGGTGACGGGCTGCCTGGTCACGAACGACGATCGGAGACTCGAGGACCGCTGATGGAATCTTTATCCCAGGGTTGAACAGCCCGGCGCTCTGTTCACACCCCGCTTATAACTCCCGTGGTGTGGCCAGCCCCATCCCAGGCCACGCCCCCCTTCTCGATCCTTCGGGAAGGTCCGGGCCCCCAATCACGTGACCCCCAAGCTCCCCCCTGGGGCCCCTAGCCCCTCCTTTGTACGGTCACGTGTCCTGTTGGGTTCACGGCCTGACATGACCTCCGTGACACCCGCCTACAGCACCCATACCGAGCCAACACAGTCGTGACGTCATATGTTCCTACGCTCGTACAATCCCGACACAGTGATGTTGTATGTCACTCCACAAACAAACATGGACCCTTAATTATCATTCAGACTGTCTTATCGACAGACCTGTTCTTCACCTGAGGACGGCTGCTTGCATTGTGGCCAAAATGTCGTGAGAATTATTTTATTATGTTTAATTTTTATTATTTCCATTCTACGTGACTTTACCGAAAGAACCAAGAAGATGAGTCCCTTAATTAGTTTAGTGCCAGTTGTTCTCTCGTGGCAGTTTGGCCAAGGGTGAGCCAACAAATAAAGTGACACTGTTCAGAATGCATTTTCACAATTTTTGAAGTTGTAGATGAAACTGAAATCCATCAAATGTATATGATTTCGTATCTTGCACATGACATCAGAGGCGTTAACATCACACTTGTGTCTTTTTGTTGACTTTGTGTTCATCTAGTAGTGCATAGAACATAAACTAATTAAATATGTTCATTCTTATTCACCTAATTCAACGTAGGCATCGTGAGCTTAAGCATCCATGCATCTTTCGATTTAAAGCTTTCGTGACTGAAGGGATTCATCTTCTTGGTTCTTTCGGTAAAGTCACGTAGAAGGGAAATAATAAAATATTTTTTATTATAAAATTTATTTTAAAATCTTTTTTTATTATAAAATGTATTTTATTATTTCCCTTCTACGTGACTTTACCGAAAGAACCAAGAAGATCAATCCATGCATCGTTATTGGCTAAACATGCATTTGTACTGCAGACAGCGTGCTTGGATATTTCCCCCGATATTACGTGGCGTTTAACTATTAAAATAATTCCAGTTGCACGGAATAAGTGTAAGCTGGTCCAGCTAACCCTTGTTTTTTGAGGGCCAAGTGATACATGAAGATGACAGGACATTCCAGTCACCTACCAAACCTTACAGCCCATGTTATTTAAATTAAAATGTGGTATTCGGGGCATTCTCATAGTGCAAGGCTATCGTGGAGGGGATATACTCCACAAACCTAGTCTGTAGTAGCTTTGCATTGGAGGGCAATGTTGCTATGCGTATTCGTAATCAGGATTATCTGGTAATTTTCCAATGTGGCCCATGATGCCTGCACTAGGATGCCATTCAGTATGCATATGGAAAATTTTAACTGCTGAAAATATTCTGATTTGTTAATATTTACATGTTGCTCAGGATCCCCACTTATTTGCGTATACAGGCAGTCCACAGGCAGTCCCCGAGATATCAATGTCCGACTTACGAACGTCCGCACTTACGAACGAACCAATTTAAGATGTTATTATTTTTTATTTTCTTGGAATTTCTCTTACTTGATACAGCAATCATGCTGTGACGGTTCCACCTGAAGACGGAAGCTTGTGTTGCCTCCGAAACGTCGTGATTTAAAAAAAAAATTCTTTTACTTTTATTAATTAGAGTTTTTTACCTACGTGACTTTACCGAAAAAACCTAAGAATATGAATCCTTGCAGTCACGAAAGCTTCAAATCTAGAATTATTTTAAACTGTCCAACTTGCGAACGTTCGGTCGTACTGACGAACCGAACCGCGGAACTATTTTGTTTGGCAGAGCAATCCTCCGCGAGATGTGATTAGTCCCAGCATCCCGCGCCATGCATGCACGCCCCTTGCTTCAAGCAAGCCAGCATCAGGACTCAAGGTTCGTGAAATAAAACAGAATTTTTTTGTACTTTTCATGCAACTTTATTTTATGTTTTACCAGCTGTACTACCTGGCTTCGCCCGAGACTTGGATCCACCATGCCCGGCCGCTTTTGTCTCCCAAGTGGTGATGTTCACAAACCACGGCAGTTACTTGTCTGAGGCTAAGTCGACCTAGGGGAGGCCCAGGACCGGTTTAAATAATCGTCACCGGTGGTGGTGGCCGTGAGCGGGAATCGAACTCGGGTCGCCGGGTTCGTAGCGCAGCGCGCGAATCGCTACGCAGTCCCCCCCCCACACACAAAGATAAAGACAAAATCCCCCGTGTAGCCCATAGGGGCAAGTGCTGTTAGCGAGCACCTATGAAGGCCGGCACGGCACACGAGGGGGTGGGTGACAGCAGCACGCCCGGCCGCCTTTGTCTCCCCAGTGACAATGTTCACACACCACAGCAGTTATCGTTTGAGGCTGAGTCGACCTAGAGGAGGCCCCGGAGCGGTAGAAATAATCGTCACCGGTAGTGGCCGTGAGCGGGAATCGAACTCGGATCGCCGGGTTCGTAGCGCAGCGCGCTAACCACTACACTACAATGCGTTGCGCTTCCACGTGTGCGGGTCACGTGACAGATTTGACGTCACAGCTCTATTGCCGTTCAAAGAATATAAGCATTATTGAGCTTCCCCCCCCCAACAAAAAAAGTGTATTTTTATAATTTTTGCAGGTGTACAGTCTGGAAAGTACCCACATGGAAAATTTGCAGCTTGTTGCATGTCGGGAAGTACGCTAAACATTTTGAACAGACACACACATTCACAACTTTGCCTTATATGTGGAGATTTACTATACAGTATTTATAGTTTTGCCAAATAATTTTAAAATCTTGATTATTATTCGAGAAAATATATTTTATATATATATAGCATCTCAGTGCATGATGCTGTGTGGGACAGTAGGCATACTTATTTTATAGAGAGAAAGAGACAGTCATAAGCAGAAGAAAAAAGGATGGTCTTGAACCTGGACTTGAACAAGGATAGGGAGTCAATAGCACAGATGCTTGGGTGAAGGAACTTCCAGACTAAACGGGCAGCAGAGGATACTAGGCACGTATCAGGCACGAGTCTTGAAATAAAAATATTCATCTATGAAATGAATGTTTACATCCTAGTCGGGAGTGGTGAATTTCACACGCTTGATTCATTGGCATGTATCCTGAGCATAATAATCTGTTTTCATCCATAAATCAAGTCGACGTCACATCCCTCAGTTTTTGTCATCGGTAATCCGAACGAGACCATCCACTCGCTGGGCTTGATGACCCAATCTTATACACGGGATGGCTGAAACCCGGATTCAAACCCGGAATACTTGCAGTTCCCTCTCGGTGGCTTTGACAGTCTTCGAAACCACCCGGCCAGTTATATCCGAGTTATTTTAATACGTCGGCACTAAGTTTCCTTTCGCATGCATCATCGCGTGCGGGGTTAGACAGTTGTGTGGGAACCCGGCGGGATTTTCCCCACCGACATTTGTGGCGACGGCGGCGCGTGGTCATGCAGTGCGAGTACACGCGCGTCTTTTTTTTTTCCACGTTGTTTTCGGCCAACGAGCGCTTTGCTCCGTACCCTTTTACTTTTCCCCCCGAGTTCCACGTGGACGTACCCGCACCACGTGGCACAGGGAGCTCAGCCAGCGCGCGCACACATGCGCGCAGTCACACGCATCTGCTCGACCGTTAATCATTCACGGGTTATGTTGACGGTCCGCACGGCTGGCAGTACTCGGTGCAGATGATAGACACGTTCGATGTAATGTAAGTACGCCGTACACACTAAACCTTTTAGTTTTTGTTGATTGACGTGTTTTCAAAAGTGCGCCGAGTTTATATTTGCTTCATATGCAGATTGAGACGTATTTGTATGTGTGTGCGTGTGTGTCTTTTTTCGAACACACTTACTGTTATTGCTTTGTGGACTCACCGAGGCTTATTGTGTTGAAAGCTTAAGGCCTAGCGTGAAACTCGTTTAAGTCGCCGAGTATTCGAGAAGGGATATGCTGTCGTGTGAATGTCATTTCTCGTATCATCTTACAGTAATATGGTGTATGCACATATATAGTCTGATTAGAAAACTGTATACAGCTGTGTTTTAAAGCGTGATTAATTTACTTATCGCACAATATGTTAATGCTGGTAAGCCCTTCTCGTAACTCTTGTACTACACGTAGTGGCATTCTCACCTGTTAAATGTATGGACTTAAATATATATCATGTTCTGTTTTTAAAGCCCAGCCGAAAATATTTAAATACACGAGTGTGCTATGTCTATATTGTATATACATCACTTCGGCCCAATCAGTGTGTGTCTGCGTATACCATTCATTTTATGTGTGTTGAATGTCTGCTACCCTGACAGACAAGCGTATGGTGACATTTATTGTGAGACTTGCCGTCAAAAGAGTGGTATTCTAGAACTGTTCCACTGATTGTCACAAAGGACTTTTGAGATGTGGGCAAAGTTGCTTTGTTTAATCGAGTGACAGCTCACATTGTAGTCCTTTAGAAAATTACTCCTCTGTTAAAAAGACCAGTCTGTGCTACAATTTTAAATCGTTGCAAAGTACAACGTACGGAGGAAACAGAAAAGTAAAAGCGGTGCAGGACACGCCATTATAAAAGATGACGGTTGATGGTTAATGATAATGACGGATTGGCAGCCAGGGGATGGAATTGAAGAGTTGGAGTGATGAAATAGACTTGTGTGTATGTGCCAGGTGGATTGTTGCATCCGGAAAGTGGGAGATTACAATGGGTTGGGCAGTTTTTCGTGCAGCAGTGGATTAATTACTCATAGCCGACGATGATAAACTCTTCAGTGTGGTTGTGCTTTATTTGGCTTTAGCACCCAGACTTGACATGGCTAATTAACGTAATTGAAATGCTATTTATTTATCCCACAAAAGCCTCACTTGGCGTCAAGACTCTTTGCTGGCGTGCCCCGCTTTGGAACGTTTGGCCAGTTTCTTTTTTAATCCTTTATATTAAGTTTGCTTGCTTGCGCGCTTACGACCGTGCAAATCTTTCGGTCGTTTTTTAACCCACTTCCCGTGATCCAATCGAGCTGACATTTTCCACACACTCGTTGTGCGTGACAATTAATTTTCGTGAAAAATTTTTTCCAAAATGTTACACTTTTTAGGAAAAAATAAATTATATTTAATTACCAATTGCTTAATGGTGGCAGGCAATCATCTGACCCATAGGTGGCAGCCATCTCAAGCCAGAGGATGAGAGGACTCTAGCCGCCACGCATATAAAGGATTTATAGTGAAAAACTTTGTTTTTACGGGTTAATTTTTAAGGAGTGCTTTTGCACGAGGGAATAATCCGGAGTACCCTGAGAAAAGCCCCACCATGTGTGCAACGGGAGCAAAACTTTGAAGGTTCACCACAAACCTATTCACGAACCAACTTGCTGTACAGCCATATGCCGGCTACCTTGCAGCTCATTTTGGGGTTCTTTAGATGCACAAAGATCTCTGTGTGAGCCACCAACCCTGGCTCCAAAACGTTGTATTTACAGCCCTGATATGCGCTACTGTTTTCCAGTGGTCACATCTGGGAGACCCATACAGCCAATAATGTGTTTGCTCCAAAAAAAGATGAATTATTGATCCCTTTATCTAATAAGATGTTCGATGTCTTGTATAAGGTCATGCAAGAGTCTTGTGATGTGTAAACCAAAGACATCATGCTGGATATCTTGAACCCAGGGCAGCATCCTAGAGCTAAGAATGTACAGTATAATGAAAATAATACTTCATTTTATGAGGAATCGTTACCAAGTGTCTAAGATTCTATTTCAGCAGGGCACTGCTCGAGATGTTTGAACTGCATTTTAAGTGTTTTTTTTTGCTTGGGAGAGTGTTTCAAAGATCAAGGAAAAAACCCATACTCTACGGCAGTGGTTTTCAACCCTTCAGAACCCACGGGATATTGCCAACCCACAAAAAACATTTCGCAGACCACCGTACAGTTAATAACGTTGGTGTTTTATAAAAAAAAGAATCGTGTTTGCAACGGCTCCGCGAACCATTTCGCACAGCCTTGCGGAACCACAAGGTTGGGAACCACTGCTGTGGCCAGGTCGCTTCTGAAAAATGACTAATAGCTCAGTGGGCTTTACCTGGTAAAATGAAAATAGTTTTAGCTTATTTAGAGTTATTTGCTTACATTTCCTGCACTTTGCACTCCGATCGTTTTTTTGTATCATTTGCTGTTGTAAATTTCTGACCCGCCCCTATTGGACATTTGTGAAAAATAGCTTCATAGCTCATCGGATTTCTGCAGGATGAATAAAGATTCAAGATTATAATTCTGCGTTATACCCACGCGGGTTATGGTAGTGAAAACCGGGCCAGATGGCTTAGCGGGTAGAACGAGCAGCTCGTGATTTGGAATGATGCGAGTTCACATCATGTTTTGGGGGTTGAATTGGCCCATCCATTCCTCTTGGGTAAGTAAGATAAGTACATCTCTGTGGTGAAGTCAACAGTGGTTATCTGGATAAACACTCGTACCTGCCATAGCAATGTGGAACTTCCAGCACCGTCTCAGAGCTGTATAGCAGGACATAAACACAGCCTCTGCTCATTTGATATTATTTTGATGGTAGTGAATGTTAATGTTTTTACAGAAACCAAAAGTAATAGAAATATTTTTCGAGGTGGCCTAGGCATCTCAACACTACAATGGCATACTCTTAGGTTTTTTCGGTAAAGTCACTTTACTGAAAAAACCTACGAGTATGAATCATTGCAGTCACGAAAGCTTCAAATCTAGAACTACAGTGGCACTGCTGAGAACCTACGCTTGAATATGTGCAGCCATCCGTTATTAAAAACAGGTCACAGGTGCAATGATTTGATGGGCTCAGCCTGGTCAACAATGACTGCACCAAAAACCATCGCATTACAATTTGGTATTAAACTTAATTGATCTAAATTCGATCGCTGAGAATTAAAAATATTGACCATTTTTCTCTGGCAGGATGGATGAAAAAGTTCTGCCCGCCCACCCCCAGTGTGGATATGAATCACAAGATGCGATCTCAGAAGCAGTTCTGTAATATTTACTTCTGCGGGCCGTTGCCCAACATCGGGCGATGCACTGCTCTGATTCTCCCTCTCACGGCATAATGCTGTTAACACAGCCAGAATGAAAATGAGGACAAAAATACGAGCAAAAATCCCCAAGTGTTTACATTATGAGACCTCATTTACCAGTTGCAAAATATAGTAATAGGTTTTTACCCTTTCAACTGGTACAAAAACTGACACCTTTATACAAGGGATCATGTTTGCAATAACCACAACACAATCAACTTCAAGGACAGTGCATATCATTATCAGAGTTGTTTCTTTTTGTTTGCATTTTGACTGCTTGTGTTGTGGTTATTGCAAACATGATCCCTTGTATAAAGGTGTCCGCTTTTGTACCAGTTGAAAGGGTTAAAACCTATTACTATATTTTGCAACTGGTTAATGAGGTCTCATAATGTAAATGCTTACCCCGAGCTCTCAATACTCTGATAGTTTGCTGTTTTTGAGTTGTACGCCTTTTGGCGTCATCTGGTCCAACACCAATGGAGACTAGGCTCTAAGAAAAGCTGTCTCGGGTGTGGACGAATCAACTTCAAGGACAGTGCATATCATTATCAGAGTTGTTTATTTTTATATGCATTTTGACTGCTTGTGTTGTGGTTATTGCAAACATGATCCCTTGTATAAAGGTGTCAGTTTTTGTACCAGTTGAAAGGGTAAACACCTATTACTAAATCCCCAAGTGATCAAATCGGACCGATGATCCCAGATGTGAAAAGACTGTCCCACTGGTATTTCCTGCAGATGATGGTGTCACCTGACGGCATGGCAGTGCTCTCTGCACCTCCCGAGGTGCCGTCATCCAGCCACCTGGAACACAGGAAGCCTCCCGCCTCGCTGCATGTCAAGGTACCAATCGTGGTTTCCTGGTCAAGGTTCTGGCCAAGTTGAGGGTTAGAGTTAGCGAGAGGTGAGCACTGTTGGACAGTTGAGTCAGCGACTTCGAGCTGGTATGTAATTATTCTTCTGATTGGAGACTAGCGATGAATGAGTTTCATGGCCTGGAACTGAACCCATGTGTCACGTTCGTCATAATGCAGTGCATGCACTCGGCGCATGCCATAGCTGCTGGGCATATAATGACTTGTCCTACGCTAATCAATGACTTGTCAGATTTAGGGCCACGGTTGAATTGAATCATTGATCTCTTTTGTTTGAACTGTCTGTCGCCCCTCTGTACTGTATGTCTACTGTATGCCTTCTCTTGTCTCTCTGCTGCCCGGTCTCCTCTGTACTGCGTCGTCTTTTTTCTCTTGATGCTTGTGTAGCAGTTGTGTCCCGTCTGCCTTTAAGAGTTAGCCATACACGTCGATGTAGGACCCCCAGTGCTTGGGCAATTGTCGGTGCCGGTTGTGGCTGCGTACCCGCTAGTCTGTGGTTTTCTGTGCTTTTGAATCGTTCTCTCGCTAAGCAAGTAGAAAGGATACTGTGCTTGCTACAAATATATATTTATTATTTTTGTTTACACTGCTTGCCTTGTTTGTACAGTCTCGTTTGGTCTGTTCTCAATTCCATGGTCTATTTAGTTGGTGCCGTCTCGTTTGTGCCAGTTGCTGTTCATGCTTGTTAGCTCTCAAGCTGTTTCTGTACTGTCTCGTTTGTATCATTTGTACTATGTGTATTGTTTCTCTATTTCGATTTAAAGCTTTCGTGACTGCAGGGATTCATCTTCTTGGTTCTTTCGGTAAAGTCACGTAGAAGGGAAATAATAAAATACACATTTTTTTACATTTTATTATGTTTAAATTAAACATTTATTATGTTTTTTTTCCCTTCTACGTGACTTTACCGAAAGAACCAAGAAGATGTTTCTCTATTGTCTGTCTCATTTGTTGTGTGCTCATTGTTTTGCTCTAGCTCGTACCTCCTACTGCCTTGTTTCTTCCACCATTACCCTAAAGGATGGATGTGCGTAGATTAAAACATAATATATATGCTTGCTCACACGATTCAATCTGTTAGCGTGAGTGCAAGGATTTATTTGGTTTACAATTCATTGGTTAATTGTTCTACTGTAACTTCCAGAATATATATTTTATTTACTTGTGGTTATCCTAGTAATTGTAGAGAAAAAGGATTGTTCATGTGGTCACAACATGATTATTGTGGTTATCCACTAATCTCCCTCTCTCCCAATTACTGCAAGTATTTGCCCTTCATTTGGTGGTGATAATGTATGTAATTACATTACGAATTGTGTCATTAAATAACCCATCAAACAAACCCATTATTAGCTGCAGTTGTAATGTTTAATTGAGGTTCTCAGTTATGTTAAATGTTTACGTGGCGTCAAGAAAGTTTTCTGATGTTATAATATCTGGAGTTGAGTTTGTATATTGGGAGTTTGGGTTTGTGTAATTATTCAAAAGTAATTAGTGATGTTGTTGATGTTAATTGAAAATAGGCAAGCAAGTGTCATTGGCAATTCGCAAGATATCTATATTGCTTGTAATTCACTTAAGTTATATCCCATGCAAATGTGTTGGCAGTGCTAGTTTAAAATAATACATATCGAATTGCAAAGATCATTAAATTCTGAATACATAGGAGCAGTTCTGTTATGGGCTGTATTATACTGTACTTTTTAGTACCTTGCAGAATCAGATCACGAATCTCACTGGGCTGTCGTGCGGTTAAACCAAGTTGCTAATACGCACGTCTCTCCGTCTTCTCTCTCGCTCTTGAAGGATTTCAGCAAGCCGATCGCTTCCCTGAAACCGCCCAAGCCCTTCAAGGGCCACAAGGAGAAGCCATCGGAGAGCAAGGATTACAAAGCGCCAGCCCCCAGCGATGGCCCCTCCAGGGAAAGCGCCAAGAAGGCGGCAACCGCCAGGCTGCACAAGCCCCGGGACGAGCCGCAGCCGCCACCCCCGGCCACTCCGCTGCCCAAAGCCCCCTCCAAGGAGCCCAAGGCCTTGTCGAAGAGGGACCGGTCGGACGCCAGCGAAGTGGCGGAACCGACGCCCGTCGCCGCGGAGAGCCGCGAGCCAAAGCCGGCGCCAAAGCGCTCGCGCACGACCCTCGACGACAAACTGGACGCGAAGAGAGCGAAGAAGCCGCCCACGGACGTGTCGTCCAGGCAGTGGGCATCAGTCTCGTCCTCGTCCTCTTCTTCCTCGTCGTCGTCATCTTCCTCCGCTTCGTCTGCCTCCGCTGTTACTGTCCCAGCTGCTACCGCCTCTGCCTCCGCCGCCGCTGCGGAGAAGGCGGTGCCCAAGGAGAGGCCCTCGAAGGGTGGAGACATGGATGGCGTGCGGGCGAAGGGTAAGATGACGGCGGCGGCACCGGCAGCGCCGGCGGCAGCGCCGGCGGCAGTCCCGGTGGCAGTACCGGCGGCCATTGCGCCGGTTCCCGCCGAGGAGCGAGCGCGGGACAAGACGTGGCGCAAGAAACACGAGGATGTGGGCCCGGCCAGCAAACCGCACGGCAAATCGCACAGCAGGCTCAGAGACAAGACGGCGCCGGCAGACAGGGAGCCGCCCGCGGAGCGGATATCCAAGGCCAAGGACAAACTGAATTCCACTGCCGCCGCCGCCGCCACCACGACCACCGCCGCAGCCATCTCTGACCGACAGCAACCAGACAGAGGCGTTCCCAAGGACAGAGATGGCAGGGTGGAGGTGACGCCAAACGCCAAGGCTCATAGGAAGGCGGACAAGGAGGTGGTGGTGACGGAGAGGAAGGTGGCGCCGCCGGTGGTGGTGCCGCCGGCACTGTCGCCGCCGGGCGACGTGCTGGACCCAGGAGACTCGGACGACGAGCTGTCGCTAGCGACCGACGTGAGTGGCTGAATGCGCTGGACGCTTACCGGTTCACTTGCTTGGGCCCCCAGGTGGCTGCCAGAAGATGGTCCGTAGTGCAGTGGGTGTTTTTTATTACGTCTGTGTGCGCAGCTCTTGAGTGTTACCCCCTCGCGTGGCTGGGTGTTCTTCAGTTATTCGTGTTTCCTCCCGCAAGCCATGCTCGTTCATGGACCTGGCCAAACATCCCTATGAAAGACCTTTCTGAAAATTAGATAAACGATGCAATTTAAATGAATTGTAGCTATTATTGTTTAGGAGCTCATTAATGTGTCATTGTTGGGTTTATTATGGGAATTGAACGGTGCCTTAAATAATGATACTCATTTAGATAACTTTGTAACAATGGGTTGAATTGGCTGATTAGAAACAGATATGAAATGACAGATTGGCTTCGGTGTTTTCCGGTAAGCTAAAGCACTCTGCCTCTGCATTACACAGGTAGCCTACGTTACTAAATATGCAATTAGTCTTAAGATATATTACAGTACGGAGTAGTCAGGAATGCGACAGTAAAATAATAGTTTATTACCCAGCAAATGTTGATCTTGATTACGTAGAGTGCAACTGTCAATTGCCATGAAACAACACATCATTTCACTGAAGCCCAAGTGACATAATATCTCTCCGTCCATCTTCGAAACACCTTGTGCTCCTCACATTTCTATTGACAGAGCCAAACATGTTGATTGATATTGCACACCTCGCTTTGATCCAGACAAACGTTTAAATTAAGAGGCCAGGGGGGGCGGGGGGGGTAGCAGGTCGAGAGGTCATGGGGTGGTGTGAGTACGTGGCAGAGCGAAAATAATGATACATTTTTTGTATAAAAGCGTTTAAAAAAAAAAAGTAATGAAAAGTGGCCCCCTAAATTTTGACTGAATTTATATCTCAGGTGCTGGAGTATGAGTATCTGTCATCCATCTGTGACATGCAAAGTGAAGTGGCTTCCAAGTCTGGGTCATGCTGCCCTGGTGGTGGAAAGAAAATACTGGCTCTCTCGATCGGTCGTAAGCGCAGCTTTGATAACCGTTTAAAGTCTACAAAGTTTGTGGGAAAGAATAAATCCCACGTCCCTCACTGCGCTGTGCAGCCTCGGGTTTTGAGAATTCAAAGGGGAGCAGAAAAAACTCGTCGAAAGGACCGAAAGGAATAGCCTGCACGAAATGAGTTTCGTTTGAATATTTATTTACTTGGTGTCATTTATATTTTTCATGTCTGGTGTGCATGAATTGGTATATGTATGTATGTTTAACTTGTTTTGCACTTATGTAGCCAACCATGCCAATCATATGCTGAACAGTTAAGAGTTGGAGTAATTGCTACAATGTCTGCTCATCTGTATTTTATCATACGATAGGTAACACAAAATTACGCCGTAATATTGGAAATGAGTTTGGATAACTTATTTGCGAGAGCATCAAGCTTCGGACAGCCAACTGCTCTGGATTTTTCCAGGATCGTCCTCTTTTCAAGATAGCTGGCCTGAGAAATCTGCAAGTCTTCCCGGGGACGTTTAAGATTAGAAGTTCCAGTCTTTGTCCCGTATGTGTTCATGCATCAGCCACGACAATGTATTTACCTGTCATTCTTCCCAATTCCAACATCGATATATTCTTATATCCATGATAAGTCCCAGTTAGTTTGTACGTAATCACACTGCCGACGTTAAAGGCATTCATTCAAATATTGTTTGTGGTCGACTCATCCCACCATCAACAATCCACCAGGGTGGATAAATTAGGTACCATCCGGTCATCGTCTTTCATATGGCTGGACGAATAGGATGGTTGACCTGGCCGAACGGAAGCACTTTCACCGCTAGTTGCAAAAGTTTGTGGTTCTATTCCGACAGGCTGCCCTGGTTAATAGCGATGGTGTATTAAGCATAAAATACACGCTGCCTGCTTCACAATGTCGCAGATGATCACAGCGATTAGGTACTACGCGCACGTATGACGGTATTACTGAGAGCATGAAAGTAATGCTGAGTGTGCTGTGCCGTCATGCCGAGTGAGTGTCGTGCTGAAGCGGGCGTGATGCGGTAATGCTAACCCGCGTCTTGTGTAGTAATACAGAGTGTTGTAGTAACACAGAGTGAGCGTTGCGTAGTAACAGAGTCTTGTGTAGTAACACGAGTCTTGTGTAGTAACACAGAGTGTTGTAGTAACACAGAGTGAGCGTTGTGTAGTAACACAGAGTCTTGTGTAGTAATACAGAGTGTTGTAGTAACACAGAGTGAGCGTTGTGTAGTAACACAGAGTCTTGTGTAGTAACACAGAGTGCTGTGTAGTAACACAGAGTGAGTGTTGTGTAGTAACACAGAGTGAGTGTTGTGTAGTAACACAGTCTTGTGTAGTAACACAGAGTGAGTGCTGTGTAGTAACACAGAGTGAGTGTTGTGTAGTAACGCAGAGTGGATTTCACACCTGATGACGATTGCTTGTGTTGCAGTCGAAACGTCGTGAGAATTTGTATTGTTTTATATTTATATTATTTTATTATTTCCCTTCTACGTGACTTTACCGAAAGAGCCAAGAATATAGAGTGAGTGTTGTGTAGTAACACAGAGTGAGTGCTGTGTATTAACACAGTGAGTGTTGTGGTGTAATTCTCACCGTTGTTTTGTAGGAAAGGCCTGCGAGCGTAGCCAGTGGCGCGTCCTCCATATCGCATGGAGCTGCTCCTGAACCAGGTAAAACCGCACCTTGTTTGCTACCCTACTTGGATCAATGGAGACATCATCTTCCCTAGCCAACTTGCGCTGGGAATGTTTTGTTGAACATTGATTTTCGTTTGCGCAATGTTTTATATTGCTCATGTTGGCGCAGTTGTGTTTGCCACGTTTGCTATTTATTTATTTTAGTGTTTGTCGTTGCGGTAACCCACGTCACTTTTCTCGTACCTTGAGTTCTCACCTGCTTAAACAAAATAAACTTCATCCGTACATCTGCATACACCTACGTATATCCGTATACACTTGCAAATACGTATGTATATGTTTAATACGTATGAATATACCCTCGTCATCTACATATATCTGTCTGCAGCGGAATATACCCGCATATACCTAAATATTCCTACACGCATCAAAATACACTTAGATGCACCTACCTCCGTCTATGTAGATCTCACACTGCATGAACGTACCTGACCACATACCTGCAATATACGGACACATACATGCCGCCTGCATACACCGCACGAAAGTCCCCGCACACAGAAATCACAATATACCTACCCACACGCGACTGTGCCTTCATATGGGTGCCGGCGGAGGCGAGATGTTAACAACCTCGCCTGGTATACAGGTCATGGGTTCGATCCTGACCCTGACGACTGTATATTTGGAGTTTGCATGTTCTCCCCGTGGTCGCGTGGATTTTTCTCTGGGCCCTCCGGTTTTTCCCTCCCCATTTAGAAACATGCTCTAAATTTCCACATGATAAGCCACTTCGTTGAGCAACCTTTTGTGGCCAGGCTGCTCAGTGGGCCTTACATGGTAAAATCTATATACTCGCATACACTTTACGTCTCATATCCATACTTGTTCATACACCGACCCGCATATACAATGTTGAAATCGGTAAACGCTCGTCTTTAATAACTGTAGTTCAATGGACAAATGTAATTTCCTTTCTGGCGATAAACGCCTCAATTTCCTTTCAGCCCTTTTATATTTTTGTTATCACGAAACGTACAAGTTGGATTTCTTAAATTGCCTCCTCCCACTGCGTTCACACGACTCTCTCTTGCCTCAGTTCACCGTCCACTGCCCACAGTCACCCTCGGATATCCTGCTTGTATATGTATGTACGTTGAACTTCTTTCGCACCGAATGTAACCAACCGCGATAATCGGAGGTGTGGGGGAAGGACAACAAAACTACTAAACACAAAAATCAGTTCTAAAGATATTAGTTTTCAATCTAGATGATGATTAAAAGTGCATATAGCTCAAGTGGTTTCCTAATATCGGAAGGCAGAGCGTTCCAGACGGCCGCAGAAGCGCATCTGAAAGTGCGCGAGGCAGTGACCGTCTTTGTTCGATGGTTTGCCAAAAAACGCTGCCCTATCATCCTCCCCCCCCCCTCCACCTATCGCCCTCCGTCCACCCCAATTTCAGCCCAGTCGGAGCGTTCGTTTCCGGAGCCACTCAGCGTCAGCCCCAGCGAGGACGAACAGGAGCCGCCCTCCGCGCCTAAAAGTTCCAGGTACCACTGCCCACGACCATCGCAATCCATCCACTCTGTGCGTTCCAGGGAAACCCGTGCCAGGCAAGCTGTTGGGCAAGTGAAATGGCCAAGCGGGAGCGCGTTTTGCCGTTTGTTGCAGAAGTTTGTGGCTCGAATTCCGGCAGGCCACCCTGGTTAACACTACGGGTGTATCAGCATAAATACATGCAGTCCGCTTCACGGTGCAAGCCAAAGATCCCGTGACATTATTTGTAAGCGGATAGGATGTGTGCCGGAACCACGTCTAGAATGTACACATTTGAAATATACTCCCAAGTTACGTAATTGAAATTACGATCTTGAAAACAACACAGCAGAATTTTCCCCGACGGGCAAACTGTACCCATCTGTGAAACGTAGCACTTTCATGATATCCTTGCACTAAAACAATGCGGCACATTCGAAACATGCTGATCATTTGATCGTGATGGTTTGATTTAACAGGGGTGCATGGATTGGTTTTATTAAGAGACCGGGTTGACCTGATGCGACGCTCGATGGAGTCAATTTGACAGCCTGATGTAAATCTCACGCAAGAGCCTGGGATGCAAAGCCAGAATTTTGACACGGTTGGCTCAATTTGCTAACATGTGCAAGGCACTAGCGGTCCGGCCTCCGGTACACAGACCATAGGCAACAAAAACGTTTTGAGGGTGTGCATAGCGGCGTGATAAGGGAGCTGCTGTCATGGGAATGTGATCAGAGGTAGTAAGGCCGAGGAAACTCGCCATTTACTCCCACCCCCCCACATGATGATTCAGTTAATCGTCACTCTTCCCAGTTCAATTCAAGAATTAAACATTTATTGTTCAAGTTTTCACTGCCGAGTCTGTACCCTTTCGCCTTCCGTAGCTTTTGATTGCGCCATTAGGCCAAATGGAACGCTTGCATAAAATTTACATATGATTCGCATATATTGAAATGATATGCATATGCTTAGCCCATTTGTCGATCCACTGCTGGATGAGGGCTTCCCTACATCGATGCGGGACCAGTCGGGTCGCATTTGGTAAAGTTCTGAAGCACAGATGTAATGGATTTTACAGCACGTCCCTCTGCTGTCCACCACTTAGCCATGCAGCAGTCTGACAACTTAGCATGCGCAGTGCTCACCCATTCAAGCACTCTCCGGGCTCAAACCTGCTTAGCTTCGGAGATCTGACGAGATCTGGCACAATTCTGCTGTGATTTAGTGAAAATGCGATCGTCCGTCAAGGCGAAAGAGCTTTATGCGATTGCGTGAGCAAGCGAGAGGCCGGTCGCTTGAGCCGGGGCCTCAGAGTGTAGACAGCATTGAAGCACTCGCGGATCTCGAGTGCGTAACGGGCGGCCGTGTGCGGACGTTCTGCAGGTCCAGCGAGCTCAGCGACAGCGAGCACAGCTCAGACGCGTCGCCCGCACCGCCCATCCTCCGCCACGCCAACAAGGTACCGTTCCCTCCTCCTCTCCCCACACAGACCCCTCCACTCAGCTCACCTTCCCCTCCACTCAGCTCATCTTCCCCTCCGCCCAGCTCACCATCCCCTCCTCCTCTTAGCTCACTTTCCCCTTCCTCTCAGCTCACCGATGAATCCTCGCCGAGACAAAGCCCAGGTTTTGTCCGTGCTCATCATACGGCAGGCTTTTTTTTCATCGCTGCCAAGCTCGTACGTGTACAACCCCGTTATCAGTCCACTGCTGGATAGGAATGATGTATACAAGTTGGGATCTATAATTACAATTACGCGGTGTAATTAGAAATTAAAAATACCAATCTCACAGCCACTGTGCGTCCTCTAAATCACTGTTGCGGATTTATTTTTTTATTAACCAAATGCATGCAAGGTGCTTCTTCTTTCATAGCTGCACGCAATTATTTGCGGGCACTCTGCACAGTTCCACTAACGTGCGTTCGTCAATCCACCACTGGATGGAGGGCCCCCCCCCCCCCATGCCAGGCAGGCCAAGGGGCTTATTTGAGGATATTTCACCTCGCTGGTCAGCACCACCGATTGGTGAAGGAAGGGATCATAGATGTACAGTACAACAAGATTTTTGGCTGCACTCCCCTCTGCTGCCTACAACGTAGCTCTGCGGAAAAGCTCCAACACCCGATGTCCACACGCTAGCAAGACTTATCCGTGCTTACATGGAGCTTCTGTGTTGACAACAGATGAGATGTGGCTGATGAGGTATTCTGCCAGTCATCTCAGTCAGGCAACCCATGGCACCTGGGTCTGTCCCGTGACCTCCTGGCAGCGGAGGCGTTCGACACTTCACGTGGCCTTACAGTGCACATTGCCTGGCACAAGCACCATGCCGACTTCACCGCCACTTAGTGGCGAATGGCGGTTGTTGTTTTTCGTGGTTCCGACCGGTGTCTACACAAAAACCTTTAGAGATGGTCGGATGGCTTCGACTGCTCCCGTTGCATAAATATATAATTATGAATACCCCGTGCAAAAAAATTGTCCCTACAAATTGGAACATGGAATTTCGACTTCTGGGTCAGGATTTCATCCCCTGCTTCATTCCTGGTTGCATAACCTGTTTCCTCACTCGTGACAGATTAAATTAAAGTCTCGCTGGGGTCACGTGGTTGAAACTGCTTTACACAGGGCCCACTGCTCAATCCACCCAAGCCCATGTGTTTATTTGGATTTAGTAAGATTTTTTTCCTTCTGAATGAGCTGCTTACGTTTACAGTCAACTTTTGTTTATACGGGATGGGGGCGAGGGGTAATTGGAAAGAGTGGGTGGTGGCCCAGATAAAACAACCGTGGATAAGACAAAGCAGGCTATACAAATGTCTGTATTACTCACCCACAAAGACTGTGTGCGAATAGGTAGATTGTGCCATATGTTTTCATGGCTTTTGAAAGTAATCAAGTTTTACTTGCCGATGTGTTTGCTGTCACGTGTGCACTCAGTCATGGACCCTCTACGAGTGAGGAGCAGCTCATATTCAAACCAGCATGTGTACAAAAATCCTTCTTTTGTGTTTTGTGTAAGCTCTGTTAATCCATATCACAGATTATAATCTGTGGGCAGATTATAATCTGATTATAATCTGCCCACAGATAATCTAGAGTTAACTGTACATGGCTGTCTTGTACAACATAATCACATGCTATAGTGTTAGCGGCTATATTAAATTCAAATTATTAATGTGGGAACGAGTAACCTTTTTTATTATGACTCTTTTGTGTGATTTGCTTGCATTTCCTATACTTTGCACTCCTATCGTGTTTTTGTATTGTTTGTTGTTGTAACTTTCTGACCCGCCCCTACTGGACATCTGTGAAAAAGAGCTTCATAGCTCATCAGATTCCTCTGGTATAAATAAATATTCCGATTTTAGATATATATTTTTTTACAATTTTGGGGTTTTAGTAGCATCAACATGCATAAGTATTGCTATTTGATGTGCCGATTTTATAGGGGTATGTTAACAATGCCCTATATTTACACAGGAAATCCTTACCACGTCTCAAGGCGTTTCCCATTGCCGTGGTCTCTTCCGTTAATGTTTGGCACATGGTAGGAAACCCAACACAGATAGATTCAAGAATCCAATGCTGTGTTGTATATCTTGTTCATCTTGCAGCCCAAACCTACCACACCTGGCATGCACAGGCAGTCTTCCATGCAAGTCCTAACCAAGCTCAACCCTGTGTAGCTTCTGAGATCTGACAAGACTGGGGTGCATTCATGCGGATTTGTGATCGTGGGCAGGAATTTTTGGACTCTGATAGTCCATGGAGACATTAAATCAAAACTCAACACCTTCAACACATCCGCCACCACCTATTAGCTCGGTTGGCTACGTAGAAGTTCAACATACATACATTAAAAACTTGGCCTTAAAATGCAAAACTATATAATAGGTGACGTTTCAGGCCAATGACCCTTATTTATTGAGATATGTCATTGGCAAAGTGAGCCCTGAGCAAAAATATATAGACTATAAAAAAGCACACATTTACACGTACTCCCTTCCTGTATGCCGCCACCCATCTAAGAACACATCTTTGAAGCGAATTATTGACGATTTGTACGGTTCTATTCACCGCGTCTGTTCAGCGTGATGTTTGACCTAACCACGGCTCGCGGAGGTGGACTAGTCCTGACTGCACTGTGACTCACAATGGACGGATGGAGCATGGGTCTGGCCCTAGGGACTTCGGGGAAGAGTGAATTAAACAAGAGCGGGGAGGGAATTCGTATTGATCCCCGGGTCGATTCCTCATCATGCGTCTCTAATTGTGTTTATCTGTTGCTTGTGTCTTTTCTAGCGTTTGACGGAGAGTTTGGGTGCGCTACGCGCAATGTGTACAGCATTACTACGGGGATGTTACAAGCTCTGTTGTGTAAACTTGCATAACAATGGTGGATAATGTCAGCGGGTTTTTTCCATTGTTTACTTATCTAAAGTAAGGAAAATGTTTTTAAATCTGGCCCGGGTACTGCAGAGGTCAGATCACTCACTGAGCTGGCTGTACTAAGAGAGAGAGCCTGTGTTCTAAGCTGTGGAGCCACCCATAATTAAACCATGTGTCTTGAGTTTTATGGTCTCGGCCTGCTGGCTGATGATTGCATGAAAAAACATCATTAGTTTTTATTTTTTCACAGTTCAATCTAGTAAAAAAAAAATTGCAACTGTGAGAATTACAAAAAATTGTCATGCACTGAACATCACTTGGAGAGCAGGGCTGCATTGAAAAGTGCAGCGACCCGAGATTGAATAAGAGATCACTTTGACGGGATCTCAGAAGGAATGCCGGAATTATCTCCTTTCACATGCTGTTCTCTTCTTGATTCTTTCGGTAAAGTCACGTAGAATGGAAATAATAAAGTAATAAAAATAAAACATAATAAAATAATTCTCACGACGTTTCGGCCACAACGCAAGTAGCCGTTCTCAGGTGGAGAACAGGTCTGTCGAGAAGACAGTCTGAGAATTATTTTATTATGTTTTATTTTTATTATTTTATTATTTCCATTCTACGTGACTTTACCGAAAGAACCAAGAAGATGAATCCCTGCAGTCACGAAAGCTTTAAATCGAAATTTATGCTGTTCTCTGTTAAAGGGGGTGGCGCAACGACTCCGCGAGAGTTTCAAATGGACATTGTAGGTCCCATCACACGATGCCAATAGCACAATCGTGAATAACACTGGGAGACACGATAATTTAATATAAAAAGTGAATTTGAGAATTTAAAATGTGGATCAGATTTGCAAGTCACCCAAAGTGCCGTACATTGGCATTAATAGCATCAACTGACCTGCGTAGTTTGCAACGTGGTACCCAATGTGTCGTCTATTTTGATGATAGATGCACCACGTATTTATATGAATAACACTAAATTTTGATTTAAAGCTTTCGTGACTGCAGGGATTCATCTTCTTGGTTCTTTCGGTAAAGTCACGTAGAATGGAAATAATAAAAATTAAACATAATAAAATAATTCTCAGACTGTCTTCTCGACAGACCTGTTCTCCACCTGAGCACGGCTGCTTGCGTTGTGGCCGAAACGTCGTGAGAATTATTTTATCATGTTTTATTTTTATTATTTTATTATTTCCATTCTACGTGACTTTACCGAAAGAACCAAGAAGATGAATAACACTGTCCACCTTTACTACGACAGCTGATCCAAATCCGTGGTCATGTACACAGGGTAGAGTAATAGCGCATGTGACCCGCAGTCCCAGGGAAAATTAATATAGCGTAAGACAACGATGAATTAAATTAAATTACTTCAAATGCCGTGCCATGACCCGGCGAATAACATGCTGTGCACAATCGATAGTTATTGCATATATGGGATATTTGAAGGTATTACAACCCTGTTGGTCAGACATTTCCAGTTATTTTTTAGCAGTGAATTAATCTGTTCAACTGTCATTTTTTCCCAAGTTTATTCAAATTGAGCTATTTTTGTCATTCCTTGAAACGATGTTTCCTTTCAGAACTCTCGCCCACCAGAGCAATGACTCACCCCCCCCTCCCGCGCGCAGATTAGAGAATAGCCCATAGAAGGAGATATGAGAGAACTACTTCTGGTATCCCTTCAAGTGACCTTTTTCATCAACACATACGGGGGGACCGTTTTATGACACTCCCTGCCACAGAATAAATCTTCATCAAATGAACGTGAAAACCAAATTTTTATTTAATTGTATGGGGTTATTTGGTTACCGGGCTGAAACCAATCAACTCGCTGCACTTGAAAGCCCCGGTCTAAACCAATTTAAAATCCAGGGATCTCAGTGGTGACCTCTTTTAAAATATATTCCCATTCAAGCCTCCCGCAGCGGGGCCATCAGAGGATTAGTGCATGAGGTGACATCACAGAACTCGCGTAAAGTCACTTCCTCTGGCCTAGATTATCCATTTCAGCAATAGACATGGTAGGTGCCTACCAGTAAAGTCACGTAGAAGGGAAATAATAAAATAATAAAAATAAAACATAATAAAATACAATTCTCACGACGTTTCGGCAACAACGCAAGCAGCCGTCCTCAGGTGAAGAACAGGGCTGTCGGAAAGAGGACGGCTGCTTGCGTTGTGGCCGAAACGTCGTGAGAATTGGATTTTATTATGTTTTATTTTTATTATTTCCCTTCTACGTGACTTTACCGAAAGAACCAAGAAGATGAATCCCTGCAGTTACGAAAGCTTTAAATAGAAATGTAGGTGCCTAGCAATCAAATATTTTCATTTGTTCATTCTCAGAGCCAGATAAGCGAATTAAATGAAAACTCACATCTGATATAATCCAATGTTTTTTGTGTGCGTGTGAAGTCAGTATCTTCGTGTTTTCTTGCCATTAATCATTAGATTGTTATCTCTGAAGCACTTTTGTACATTATTAAAATATCTATGGATTTCGACGGTCAGATAAGTAACTGCTTTCACACTATAGTAGAGGATTGTATCATTAGCATACTGATTAATATTGAAATATATGCATGTTTTCGGTGTGTGAGAATTGAGACCAACAGGGGCCCAAGTATAGAGCCCTGGGGAAGCCCCATTTGTGATTTCATAACTAATTTGAAGTCACTTCCTCTGGCCTAGATTATCCATAAGAGTAACACACATTCTAGATGCCTGGCAATCTTTTTTTATTGTTAATTTATGGAAACAAATCACCGCCTGCCAGTGAGGTCGGACTTTAACCTTCGCTAAATGCATCGGGACCTAGTCCGGAGTATTCTAGTTGTGTAGTGCCGCAGCATTCGATCCGCATTATCACAAGTCTTACTGGCATCTATAAAGATTTCTCCGCTAATCTGACCTTGGTCCATAGCACACTATATATATATCATACATTACTTTCAGCAGGGTTGTTATTGCAGATTGCTTTGGGCGATAGCCGGGCCTAAACTGATTTAGAAAGGAACACTTGAGTGTAGAAGTCCATTCGTTTATAATTTACAAACAGCTTGAAGACTTTAGACAACACAGTGATATTGGCCGATAGTTAAACATTGTCAATTTCTCGCCAAATTAAAAACTGAGAATCACCTTTGCCAGTTTCCAGGCAGCTGTAAATGTGTGAATTTAACAATTTATTAAGTAAATCAGGCAGTGGATAAGAGATTTGGAGCCGTGACATATCCAGTTCAAGGTTATGTTTGATAGATTTAAATTCAAGGCTACTTGCAGCATAAGTGTAACATTTGTCTGGTGATGGCACGCAGTTTTTGAAATAACCATTAAAACATTGTGAAATGGTTATTTGAATTACTAGGAGTAATTTACTGTTTTGTTTTGGCAAACTATTTCTAAGATATTAGTGTTCTGCACAGGATTAAGTATCTACTTTTTGGTTTTCAAACAATTTCCGGCAGTCAGTTAAGTTGGTTACCGAATTGTATTCACGCACAGTACGTGCCAAACGCTTCATGAATGGAATTGGCCCAACATCCGAAAGCTGTTTGTCTGAATCTGAGATTTGAACCCAAGATCTTTGTTTTGCCGGCTCGGTGCTCTCACTGAGCTGTGGTGCCACCACGGTGGCTAGGAGATGTTAACTACCTCGCCTGGTATGCACGAGGCCGTGGGCTCGATCCAGACCCTGATGCCTGTATATTTGGAGTTTGCATGTCTCTCCCCATGGTCATGTGGTTTTTCTCCGGGTCCCCCGGTTTTTCCCTCCACGTGTGAAATCGAGTATTTGGCAGCTTTATATTTGCACGTGATAAGCTACTTCATTGAGCTATCATTTGTGGCCAAGTCGCTTTGGAAAAAGAGCTACATAGCTCAGTGGGCCTTACCTGGTAAAATAAAAAATAGTTTATAGTACATCATATCAGCCCTGAGCTACCAGGGTAGCTTGACTTTGTCATTCATGAAGTCTAGAAACTCGTGTTGGACAGACAAACCCAAGCTACAAGATGAGCGACGTTAATTGTTCGTTTTGCTGTCTTCTTGTAAGGTTTGAGCTTCTTTCGCACCGCACGTAGCCAAACCTGCTAATCGGAGGTGCGGGGGGGGGCAATCGGAGGTGCGTGGGGAAAGACGAAGAAAAGAGAGATGATGAGCGACTGAGAACAACATCGCAGCAGCCGCAAAGTGTCATTTAGCTTAGGCCTGTGGCGCTTGATGAGCAAATCGCGAAATGTATGCGCGTCACAGATTTTCTTGCTGTGGATTTCACACCTGATGATGATGATTGCTTGTGTTGCAGTCGAAACGTCGTGAGAATTTTTATTGTTTTATATTTATATTGTTTTATTGTTTCTCTTCTACGTGACTTTCCCGAAAGAACCACGAATATGAATCCCTGCAGTCACGAAAGCTTTACATCGAAACGTCATAGATTGTTTTATTTGTATTATTGTACGAGCGCGTCGTGCACGAGCCGATCGTCACGTCCGCCGCCGTCTGTCCTCCCTGACCGCCGTCGCTGCTGCTTGCAGGCCTACATGGAGGAGCTGGTACGGCTGCACCGCAGGCTCATGATGCTGCGTGAGAGGAGCACCTTGCAGCAGGTAAATCCTCCGCTCGGTCCCCTCGTTCGTCGGCAATTAACCTGCAGATGCGGCGCCTTCAAGAGCTGCCGTTGTAATGGTCAGCACACTGGATGTGCGCCACGGTGGCTATGAGATGTTAACTACCTCGCCTGGTATTCAGGAGGACGTGGGTTCGATCCCAACCCTGACTCCTTTATATTTGTAGTTTGCATGTTTTCCCCGTGGTTGCGTGGATTATTTTCCGGGTCCTCCGGTTTATCCCTCAACATTTAGAATCGAAACGCATTTAGGGTATTTGGCTGCTATGAATTTCCACGTGGTAAGCCGCTTCATTGAGCTATCTTTTGTGGCCAGGTCGCTTCTGAAAAAGAGCCGTATAGCTCAGTGTGGTGCCTTACCTGGTAGAATAAAAAATAGTTGAATAGTTTGAAATAGTTGAACGATCCGTGGGGCGACTTTCTGAAATCTCCCCCCGACCCCGCCCAATCTGTCCTCCAGCAGTATGAATGAGTTCACCACAGTTAGTCGATTGGCAAGCCACGTGCGGCGAGGTAAAGTGTGGGTTCGTCCACCTTTTATCACGCCTGGTCAACGCAGAAGAGTAGACCAAATACTAGCGAGTTTGCTCGAGTGTGAGCACCCGCACGGCTGGACCTTAACGCTTTATGCAGCATCTTCGGCGTTTGTCGTTGGCCTCGACCCATCGGCTGTCGTCACTTGGAGCGGCGTGGCCTGCTTGGACACACTTTTCTTAACGGTCAATACGATGCCCATAGCCTGTTTGTTCTCAGCTCCGCGTGGTCGTCCGTCTGTCTAGCAGATGCCGACCCTAGTACAAAATTAGTGACGAAACTTATATAACAAAAACGGCAGTGGCAGTGTTAATGATGAAAGTGGGCGAATATTTTGTTTTGTGCTTGTATACGATGAGCAATGAATCTCTTTTTCACGGATGTCCAGTAGTTTTAAACAGTCTGATCGCTGCGGAGATTGAGCGGCGAGATCACCTGGAGCTAGATGGATTGTTGCATTGCGAGATTGTGAGAGACGCCGATGACTTGGGGAAGCGTTCATCCACTAGTTGACAGAGCACGGCTGATGATGATGATGACTGTGGGGAGTGGGAGGGTCGCGGTTAGCGCGCTGCGCTATGAACCCGGCAACCCGAGTTCGATTCCCGCTCACGGCCAACACCAATGACGATTATTTAAACCGATCACAGGCCTCCCCAGGGTCAACTCGGCCTCAAATGAGTTCCTGGTGTATGGTGTGTAAACATCACCACTGGGGAGACAAATGTGGCCGGGCATGGTGTTGGCCACCCATCTCCTCGTGTGCTGTGCCAGCCTTCATAAGTGCTCGCTAACAGAACTTTCCCCAACAGTCTGATGAGGCTATAACCGCGATCTTTGTCTTTGCGTGGGGCGCCACAGGTGGTGAATCTCATCGAAGAGACGGGACACTTCCAGGTGACGAGCACCACCTTCGACTTCGACCTCTTCTCCCTCGACCAGGCCATCGTGCGCAAGCTGCAGAGCTACTTGGGTCCCACCGAGGCCGTGTGACCCTCGACCCCCCCCCTCATTACCCCAGCCCCCCACTCTGACCCCTCCCGCTCCCTCGCCCGCGTGAGGCCGCCCCGAGAGGTCACCGTTGCCTCTGTTCCACTGGGCAACCGAGCCAGCCCTGTCCGTGGCTCACGAGGCACCAGGTCATTTTTCCACTGCAGAATCCGAGCCGCGCATCTTGCGTCGCGTACAAGACACGCTTTGTAAATGACGCCGTGACCTCGCAGCGTGTACCAGCTCACGCAACGCTGAACCTGGCCCCGCTTGGCCACCCCCCCGAGCCTGATCCAGATGTCCTAAGGCTAGCGTATCGCAGTTCGCTCATGGCTCGGTGCGCCAAATTGCTGGTGGAAACCCTTCCCGTGCCGTGAGGGCCCCCCCCCCCCCCGCGCGCTGGCTCGGCTCGGATGTGCCGCTGGAAATTGGGGTACAAATTACCACTCTTGGTTCCAGTTTTTGAAACGAATACAATTCTGCCTTTGGCTCTTGGGGTCTCAAACGGTGCGCGCAGGCGGTTTAATAGAACACTTGCAATGCTGGCGGGAGTTACTTCGTCGAAGCTGCTGCCACCAGATGGCAGCATGGGAGAGAGAGCGAGCGTTAGGATGTTAAGAATGCTACGAATAAGCAAGGATGGAGCTGTGCACACGATACACTTCCACCGATGACCAAATCGATGTCGGGTTGAGCCTGGACCATCGTACTTGGACGGGTGACCATCATGCACAACGGTCAGCAAGGGCAGTGCGGCAAAATGCGTCGAACTGTACTTTCGTGCTCTCGCCTCTACGCGCCGCCCGCCTTCTGAAAACGACGCTGGATCAGCGTCGTGAAGTATGACCAAATTGCCCCCAAGATCCGCACAATAACCGGCTGTTACACGCTGCTTCTCATGCTACCATCTGGTAGCAGAAGCTCTGGTGAAGTGACTTCTGCTAGCAGTATGTTGGTAATCGTGTGGATTTTTCCCTACAGATTTGCCAACGTGAGTTTAGAATATTTGGCTGCTATAAATTCCCACGTGATGACAAGCCACTTGGTTGAGCTATAATTTGTGGCCAGGTCGCTTCTGAACAATAGCTACACAGCTCAGTGGGTCTTGCCTGGTAACATAATAAATTGTTTAGGTGAGTTCATAGCGGTCGCCTTCCAAATTGCCGCCTCGCCCGCAACGCGTCACCTGCGTGCGGGACAAGGTGAGGCGAAGAGTTTAATTTGCCATGTTGGCAGAAGCTCCGGTGAAGTAACTACCGCCAGCATTGCAATGTTCACAGCGATCGCCCCCCCCTCCGTTTTTCCAGTCAACCGGGTCGCCTGCAACGCGTCACCTCCGTGCGGACAAGGTGATGGGGTCAAAAGTTGTTTTTTTATTTCCTCTTCAAAACCGGAGCCGGGCGGTGAGATGATCCCCTACGGGCTCGGGAGCTCTTATTTATTTAGTTTCGTTTTTTTTTTGTCAACGATGTTTGTAGCCGTGTGCGTGCGTGCGTGCGGTTTGCACAGCCCGTGTCTGCATGCGGGGGCGAGGGGGGCGACATGTTCGTCAGCTATACCCTCGATCCCCCCCCCCACCTACTCCACCCACCCCCCCCCCCGGGTAAAAGTTAAGCGGGCCGCATTTATTTTCTGACGCGCGTGTCGAGCGGTGGGGTTCTTTTGATTTCAGCTGTAGCCGTGTTGTGTTTTCGCCGTTCAAAGAGAAAACTGAATCGTGTAGACTTATTTAAAGGGCTCTGTGCCAACGCTGCGGGCACGTGTTCCGAAAGGCACCCCCCCCCCCCACCATCCCCCCCGCGCTGCCCTTGCCGCGGGGGGTACCGGCGAACGCCCGGTGAGTGGAGCACTGCACGCGCGCCCTTGTCCTGTGCAATACGGAGCAGACCTGTGTGCGAGACGGAGAGAGGCACGCCGCCAGCCCCTTCCAAATCGAGCCCCAGAAACGAATCGCCGTCGCCCGTCCGCGTCTCCCGCAAAGTGCCCGAGTTGACACTTTCGGGCTGCGAACGAGGCTGCAGCGCATTTGACTCGCTCAGTTGCGGGAGGTGGTGGGTTTCAACGTAAATGCAGGGCGTGACGCGCGTTCCGCTGATTGGAAAGCCCTCGGCGGCGCCCCGCACGCCAAATTGAAATTAAAAACGAAGCGAGCGCACGCATACATGGGCGGTGGAATTGGGTGGCAGTTAAGTGTACTCCTGTGTAGGCTTTTGGCGGTTGTGCCGCCGCGGCTCTGCGATGTGTTTCTTAGGCGAGTTCGACCGAGTGTTGTTCGTCGCGGTGTTCCGACTCTTTTTTTGGAACTGAAATGAAGATGCTCTCCCGGCCGGTGAAGCAAAACGTCGGACGCTTCGCGCGGTACAAACCGAAAACGCATCCGAGAGCTTAACAGCACGCCCGCGAAAGTCTACGCAGTTGTTTGTGAACTCGGATCTGTCCGTCGTGCTTGCAGCAGGGGGCGTTGCGCCGTTACAATGTCGTCCCCATCCACGCCATCCCCGCCGTGGGCAGGGATGGCCACAGGTGTAGGAAGCATAGTCGAGGCTGATCCTACATAAGGTGTACATAGTTTAATTTATATCTGCTGAAGACGATGTTAAACAAACAAAAAAAACCCGAGGCACGCGTACGGCTGGGCGGTCCAGCTTGTCCGCGTAGCCGCGGGCTAAGCGTAGCCTCGCTGAGCTTTGCTGTCTGTTGCCGCAAGCGCATTGTGTTTTTGGGCAAACGGATCTGTTGTGCAGACGAGTTTATTTTTTTTGGTGTTTGGGAATTCTGGGGTTCCTGAGCGATTCTTGGCGGGGAATTCTAAGTTTCCCACAGAATGATGCGTTTTGTTATTTTGCTTTTCCACGTTTTTTTGTTGTCTTCTCTTGGTTCGTTCTTTTTACAACGTCTCAAAGTGAAACTTGTGTCACAGCTGAGAGTTACTAATGTTTGGTGTCGCGTATACAGGTATCATTTCTGGGTTCAACGCTGTGTGCACGGGAGAAACCCTGGCAACCCTCCTCGTGTTACGCCCTTACTGCAGACAATTAGGTGACTGGCTCATGTGAATTACTTTTAATTTAACTATGACAAATGGAAACACTGCTCCACGCGTACCACGACAAAATAAGAAGAAAATCTCCATTAACAAATAGCCAATGGGCGGTGCGTCGTCTCCATTGGCTGCCGTGAATCCATGCCGCAACAAAGTCCACGTTCCTTTCACAAGGACCAGTCTCAATTTTGGCTATGATGGAATTACAATAGGGGCATCCCACTGTGTTATGATGCTCATAGGACTGACATCTAATGACGTCTTCTTCATCTTACTCATTAAGAATGTTTAATAATCACGCACACTTACCTACTCATCTGCTGTGATAAGCCGGGGAGAATGTTTAATAATCACGCACACTTACCTACTAATATCTGCTGTAATAAGTCGGGGGTCGAGTGGTGGTGCCGGGGGTCGAGTGGTGCTGCCGTGGCTCGCGTGCTACGCGATGGACCTGGCTACCTGCCACGGCTCTCATCAGTGGCATGTGACATTCTGGACCCCCACGACACATTCGTCAATAACACTGTGGCCTTAAAATAAAATTAAAAAATATATAAAACTGCCAACGTTTCGGTAACGAGACGTGGCAGTGTTGAAATATTTAAAAATCTTAACTATTTTTATTTTTACCATGTGAGGCCCACTTTTTCAGAAGCGACCTCGCCACAAACGAAGTGGCTTATGTACAAATTTGGAGCAGCAAAATGCTGTTCAGCGCGTGTTTCTAAATGTGGAGGGAAAACCCATAGGACAAATCCACCCGACCACGGGGAGAACATGCAAACTCTTAAATATACAGCAGGCGTCAGATTCGCATGACAGGGCGAGGGAGTTAACATCTCGCCACTGCAACCAGTCGCAGTGTTGTTGACGAGCGCGTCGAGAGGATGTGTTGGTTGTGCTTGTGCGCCACTGCGTGGTTCTACAAACCCCACGGACAGACACCATGTGAGGCTTCACCCAGCGGTGGACAAAGGACTCAACGTTTTACGATTAAGGAACACTTCACCGGACCGTGTGATTAAAAAAAAAATTGCAATAAGTTTCGTTGCATTAAACAAGCCGGTCTCACAGCGGGGAAAACCGGGATAAAGGTTTATTATAGCCTCAAGGTATGTCTGAACAACTCTGAACTTAGTTTAAACGAGCTCAAATTATTCCGAAATTATTATTATCATTGCGGATTATGCCCGAAACGAAGAGCGTCACGAGGTACGCACAACTTGTAAAACGAACGCAAATCCGGGGACAGGTCTGGGCCATAATGCAGTGGAGTTGCCCCAGCACCGTTCATCCCGGTTGGCTACGCACAGTGCGAAATAAGTTTCGGCGGACGTGTGCGCCCTTCCATCCATCACCAGCACGGTGACACGTTGACAATGAAGGGGAGCACGAGAGGAAAACGTTGCGTTTCGTCCGGGTTGGCCGGAAAACGCGCGCGGGCGCTGCCGTGTTTGCGCGCGCCTGGCACGCGTCTCGCTGTTAGTGCCACACTTGACTTCCAGAGCGAAGTTGCATTATTTATATCCCCCCCTCCCTCCCCCTGCCACTTACGGCTGTCAAGCAAAGAGAATTTTGCAAATAGATTGCCGCGATGAATCAACGTGGTATTGTAACGTCTCAACGGTTTTGCTTTTATTCCCACCCCTCTTTAATTTGATGCGCCCTTTGGCAACGCGGCAGGAGGTAAATCTCTTCATTACTTTATTCCATTTCACCTGTGCGTGGGTGCTACCGCTGTTCGCTGTACATTTTTTTTTAATATCCCCTAAGAGGACGTACAGTAGATGTGCATGCGCCCAGGTGTTTTGCCGTCAATGCCACCATCAGTGTCGTGGCAAAAAAAAAATAGTGATTCCGTGTGCCATGACTCCTGCTAGGTACGTCTGCGCGTCCCTGTCACGATGGCACTTTATTTAACACCGGTTTTGCGTCTCTCCCTTAACCCCACGATGTCCATCACTGCCATCACCGCCGCCATCACATCATCGTCGCTGCCACCACCACCACCACCACCTCTCCTCCTCAGCCAAGACGCACGGTCTCTGCAGAGCATTCCAATCGTGTCCGTGCCGATCGGTCCATTTAAAACGCCGGTCAATTTCAGTTCTCGATTTGATCGTGTGAAATACGGAAAAGTTTAAAATAATGTAAAAGTGCAATTCTTTGACAATCCTTTGCGGTCGTTATTCCTACAGTTGTACAACCATTCGATTTAATTTTTTAAACAAAGTATATCTATATACACTGTAATGTATGTATGGAACATGCAGCGTCGTGTTGTTTATAAATGGTGGTATCACAGCATCCCCTTCCTGCGTTGTCTGCCTTGTTTGTGTTTTTGCCTGTTTGTCAATGGTGCCGCGTCGGTGTCACGATTCTATACGAAAGATTTTCCATTCACGAGTCTAAGAAAGCGGTCCAAAACAGCCTCTGTGTGGTGAGATTGTAAACAAGTGTGAATGGTGCACCTGGCAAAATGAGCTTCCATGATAAACTGGACTCCGACGATAAAATGGACTTCCATGGTAAACTATACTGTTTAACACATAGGCTTTCGCTGTCTATTATGGATAAACTGGAATGCAATGGTGAGTCAAGATATTTTCAGGATGAACCTGCATTTGGGAAGCTGCCCACTGCTACGAGATTATTGGATGACAAAAATGAAAATTACTAATATAATGAGCCAAGAATGTGTGTCGTGCGTGACGTCACTCCACATGAGGCCTACCCCCAAGCGTGACGGTCCGAGACATGTCGCTTAGTTTCCCCAATGTTACTACTGCCGCAAACACAGCTTAGTTTGTAGACACCCCGGGGTATTGCATGTCAGGGACCACATCCTGCACAGATGGGGTCAGATCACGAATTGTATGTACTGTGTTGAATCGAACCTGGATCTTGTGTTTGCTCATGATTTTGGAAATAATTTTGGTGACCCCTGCTATGCATGGCAAGGTGATGGTTTTGATTGGGTCCTCAGATGGTTCTTTCCCAACGGTTGGGGTGATGGCTTTACGGATTGTGTAGTCCGAATATCCATTCATCTTGAGGGCTTGGTGTACGTGCTCCAGTTCACTGGCTAGGTGGTGATGGTCAGAAATACAATGAGCTCTATGGTGTAGAGTTTCGATGAGGAAATTATTCTGGGATGGATGGTGGTGGGAGTCGGGCTTTAGATCGGCATCCGTTTGGGTGGCTTTCCTGTAGACAGTGTCTCATTGAGCCATCTGAGTTGTACGCCTTTTGGTGTCATCTGGTCCAACACCAATGGAGACTAGGCTCTAAGGAAAGCTGTCTCGGGTGTGGACCAATCAACTTCAAGGACAGTGCATATTATTATCATTATCAGAGTTGTTTATTTTTGTTTGCATTTTGACTACTTGTGTTGTGGTTATTGCAAACATGATCCCTTGTATAAAGGTGTCAGTTTTGTACCAGTTTAAAGGGTAAAAACCTACTACTATATTTTGCCACTGGTAAAGGAGGTCTCAGTATAGTGAGATGTCTTTAAATAGAGATACCAAGTGAGCTAAGTTAAGTACAGCTGAGGTGGTCTTACCAGTGAATGGTTGTAGGGTCTCAGACAGAAATCTGGCCAGTTTGTAGGTGGGTGAGTCAATGGTGGAGAAGATAGGACGAAGGGGTGTACCTTCTTTATGGATTTTGGTAAGCCATAAAATCTGGGTGGTCTAGCAGCAGAGGGTTTTAAGGAAAGCCGCTTGGTTGGTTCGATTAAAGATGTCGAATCAGTTATGATATTACTCTTTGGTTCTTTCGGTAAAGTCACGTAGGTAGAAAAATAATAGATCACGACGTTTCGATCGCAACACAAGCAATCGTCATCAGGTGGGACAACCACAGAAAGAAAAAACTGATGCTTTTTTTTTGCTGTGGTTGTGTTGCGATCGAAACGTCGTGATCTATTATTTTTCTACCTACGTGACTTTACCGAAATAACCAAAGAGTATGGATTCCTGCAGTCACGAATGTTTCAAATCAAGACTGATGGTATTGTTGTTTTTTGTAACCAGGCGGTCGGTAGGATCTCTATTGATTTTGGTATAGCTGCCATCATTAAGTAGGACCTGAATTGTGTTATTGTATGTGGTTTTGTCCATGATGACAGTGGCATTGCCCTTATCGGCTCAGAGGATGACTTAGTCATCTCTCTTTTTTTTAGTTGAGAAGGCTCAAAGCGCTCATCCTTGCTGATGTTGCTAATATGTCTTAGCGTTTTTGAGGACTGCAGCGATTTCCGATCTTGCCACGTCTGCAGGAATGTGTCGCAACCCCTTAGTGGCTACGTCGACCTGGGCCATGATATCATCAACTGGGATGTGTTTAGGGGTGACTGCGAAATTCAACCCTTTAGCTAGAACTGATTTTAGGCTGTCTGAAATTGGGCTGTTACTCTGATTGATAACAATCTTGCCGCCGTCTAACTTTTTAACGTGTGGATCTGGCTTCTGGTTGAACTTGGAAATCAGGTTATCTTTGCATTTAGCTGACATTGAGGCGGCTGAAGAGGCTGTCATGTTATCTACATGTTCCCAATCAGATACAGGCATTTTTTCTGTCACTGTTAAGTGTGATTGCAAGAGAGTCTTGTCTAAATTGTCTAGTTCAAATCGGAGCAATCTTATTCTCTCTGAGATCAGGGCTCGGCCGGCCCTGAACAAGATCCGTTTAGCATTAGGAGAAGTGACAGCAGCAGATGTCAGTGTAAAGTATTACTTTGGTGTCGCGGCATCTCTTCAGAAAAGTGAGCGACTCGATCAGATGAGCCTTCTTGTCTCGAAGTCTGTCAAAAGATCTAATAGTTGTGTGGAACCCCTCTCCTTAGAGGCGGTTAAATCTTGATGTGTCTTTACAGAAAGTGACGGTAAAAAAATTAACCCGTAAAAACAAAGTTTTTCACTATAAATCCTTTATATGCGTGGCGGCTAGAGTCCTCTCGTCCTCTGGCTTGAGATGGCTGCCACCTATGGGTAAGATGATTGCCTGCCACCATTAAGCAATTGCTAATTAAATATAATTTATTTTTTCCTAAAAAGTGTAAAATTTTGGGGAAAAAAATTTCACGAAAATAAATTGTCACGCACAACGAGTCTGTGTGCAAAATGTCAGCTCGATTGGATCACGGGAAGTGGGTTAAAAAACGACCGAAAGATTTGCACGGTCGTAAGCGCGCAAGCAAGCAAGCAAGTGAACTTAATATAAAGGATTTAAAAATAAATCTAAGCAGCACAGTGCTACATCCGTGCGTGACGTCACTGCAAAAGAGCCCCCCCCTCCCTCATTAATATTCATGCCTACGTGGAAATTGACACGAACGCACAAGGTCGTGCACTCCACATGCCGCACCCCTCCCCTCATTAATAATCATGAGCGGGTGACGTCATTCCATATGCCGCACCCCTCCACAATAACAATTAACGGGTGACGTCACTCCACATGAGACAACCCATCCCCCCTCATTAATAATCATGAGCTAAACAATTTTTTCTATTTAATATTTCACATTTACTGCGATATACACCCGTCCTTGGACGGGCAAAAAAGCTAGTAATTATTATTCTCATACCTGGAACGTATCCAGTGTGCGAAAGCAAATTTTACACAATGGGGTTATGCAGTCGTTAGCGACCAGACTGAGACCAGCAACTCCATTGCACTTGAGATCCCAGCTTAATTTCGAGTGGCTGAGAAACCTGGATTTGAACCCATGAAATCAGCTGTGCTGATTCGTCGCCCTGGCGGCATGAGTTCGCTGAGACACGTGCCCACCTCGTGCGATGTCTTCTCTTATTACTTTTTTTAGCGACATAGAATTGTAATTCATTAAGTAAGTAATACATTGTTGGTAGCTCAGCTTACTTACTGTTAGTAGCTCAGCTTATTGGAGAGTATATTTAGTATACTGATGATACTATGTAGTTTATCCTTGAGTTTTTCAACGTCGTGGTTTCGTAACTGCAGCTACATACTATTAACATTCCTTCCCTTTGTTAATGCTACCACCTATCCCCTCCCTTTGATGCTGCTAATCCTGCATAATGCACGGGCATAATATGACTTTGAAACCCCCGCCCACCTCCATTTCCCATAAATATGCTAAATTCCTCTTGATATGCAAATTATTTTGTCAAGGCGCTCTTCTTCCCCCTCCAACCCAGCTGAAATATACGCTCCAAGCTTGGTGGTGTTTCATTCTTCACCTGAGGACGGCTGCTTGCGTTGTAGCCGAAACGTCGTGATAATTATTTTATTATGTTTTATTTTGATTATTTTATTATTTCCCTTCTACGTGATGACTTTATCGAAAGAACCAAGAAGATGCCTCTTACCCTTTGTGGCTTCAACCCACGATTGGCCATGTTTCACTCCTGACGCCTGCACTTCCAGCCACTCACTGTAGTCCACAGCAAACGTGGCCAACCCGTACTGACCAGATTAAGCTCGTTGCGGGGCCTGTAGCATATGTTGTTATAAAAAGAGGCCCTAAATAAAAAAACACTTCAATATTAAAACACAAATGTTGTACTTGCACAGTAAAGTAATTGTATATTTTCATTTTCTATACAGCCACAGATAATACGAAAAATCGCTAACCTTAAACACCCAGTCGTTCATAAAAGTTGAAGGCAGTATAGTACTATAGTAATAGAGCAAGTGCAGAATCACTGAACCAGAATTGATAGCCTGAAAGCGTTCAGCGTGGGGCCCTTGAAAGTGCGGGGCCCGTAGCTACATGTGTAGCTACACGGCCGGGTACGGGTAGCCGGGTATCGGGTAGGGTACGGGTATCGGGTAGGGTACGGGTATCGGGTAGGGTACGGGTATCGGGTACCCGATTGCGACCTTTGTTTCTCATAGAGGGCCTCCCCCAGGCTGTTTGACCATACTTCACCACGCTGGTCAGTACGGGTTGGCGATTGCGTGGAGCATTGGTGTACGATAGTACTGTGCAACAATGGGTCTTGTGCTGTTGTTGAGCTCTGCTGCCCACCACCCACTTAGCCCCAGAGTTTGACAACTCGTGTGCGCGTGGTGATTGCTCATCCGAGCACTGTCGGTCGGTCGGTCAGAGGCTGCAGTCAGCTGAGTGGTGGTGGTGGTAATTAATCGGTGTCCGGTTGAAGTGCTGTAAACGGTCTTCAGAGAGCGTGTGATCGGAGCGAGGTTTGGGGGGTGAGCAGATTGAAAGACGGCTCACAATTATTGTACCTTGTGAAGTTGAAATTGTGAAAGGCAAAAATAAAGATTTCGCTCCCGTAGTGGTAATAAATTAGAATATGTAA